ATGTACTTGCTGGATGTTACTCCCTGGATTTTCTTGCCTGGATGTTACTTGCCGGGAAAGTTACTTGTGGATGTACTTGCCTGGATGTTACTTGCCTGGATGTTACTTGCCTGGATGTTACTTGCCTGGATGTTACTTGCCTGGATGTTACTTGCCTGGATGTTACTTGCCTGGATGTTACTTGCCTGGATGTTACTTGCCTGGATGTTACTTGCCTGGATGTTACTTGCCTGGAGGTCACTTGCCTGGAGGTCACTTGCCTGGAGGGTACTTGCCTGGATGTCACTTGCCTGGAGGGTACTTGCCTGGATGTTACTTGCCTGGAGGGTACTTGCCTGGAGGTCTCTTGCCTGGAGGGTACTTGCCTGGATTTTTACTTGCCTGGAGGTACTTCCCTGGAGGTCACTTGCCTGGAGGGTACTTGCCTGGATGTTACTTGCCTGGAGGGTACTTGCCTGGAGGTCACTTGCCTGGAGGGTACTTGCCTGGATGTTACTTGCCTGGAGGGTACTTGCCTGGAGGGTACTTGCCTGGATGTTTTAACTTGCCTGGAGGGTACTTGCCTGGATGTCACTTCCCTGGAGGGTACTTCCCCTGGAGGTTCACTTGCCTGGAGGGTACTTGCCTGGATTTTACTTACCTGGAGGGTACTTGCCTGGATGTCAACTTCCCTGGAGGGTACTTGCCTGGATGTTACTTGCCTGGAGGGTACTTGCCTGGATGTCACTTGCCTGGAGGGTACTTGCCTGGATGTCACTTGCCTGGAGGGGTACTTGCCTGGATGTCACTTCCTGGAGGGTACTTGCCTGGATGTCACTTGCCTGGAGGGTACTTGCCGGAGGTCACTTCCCTGGAGGGTACTTGCCTGGATGTCATTTCCCTGGAGGGTACTTCCCTGGATGTCATTTGGGCCGGGGAGGGTCCCTTGCCTGGATGTCACTTGCCTGGAGGGTACTTGCCGGATGTCACTTGCCTGGAGGGTACTTGCCTGGAGGTCACTTGCCTGGAGGGTACTTGCCTGGATGTCACTTGCCTGGAGGGTACTTGCCTGGATGTCACTTGCCTGGAGGGTACTTGCCTGGATGTCACTTGCCTGGAGGGTACTTCCCTTTGGATGTAAACTTGCCTGGAGGGTACTTGCCTGGATGTTACTTGCCTGGAGGGTACTTGCCTGGAGGGTACTTGCCTGGATGTCACTTGCCTGGAGGGTACTTGCCTGGATGTCACTTGCCTGGAGGGTACTTGCCTGGATGTTACTTGCCTGGAGGGTACTTGCCTGGATGTCACTTGCCTGGAGGGTACTTGCCTGGATGTTACTTGCCTGGAGGGTACTTGCCTGGATGTCACTTGCCTGGAGGGTACTTGCCGGGATGTAAACTTGCCTGGGGGGTACTTGCCCTGGGAGGGTACTTGCCTGGATGTTACTTGCCTGGAGGGTACTTGCCTGGATTTACTTGCCTGGAGGGTACTCCCTGGATGTTACTTGCCTGGAGGGTACTTGCCTGGATGTCACTTGCCTGGAGGGTACTTGCCTGGATGTTACTTGCCTGGAGGGTACTTGCCTGGATGTCACTTGCCTGGAGGGTACTTGCCTGGATGTCACTTGCCTGGAGGGTACTTGCCGGAGGGTCACTTGCCTGGAGGGTACTTGCCTGGATGTCACTTCCCTGGAGGGTACTTGCCTGGATGTCACTTGCCTGGAGGGTACTTGCTGGGATGTTACTTGCCTGGAGGGTACTTGCCTGGATGTCACTTGCCTGGAGGGTACTTGCCTGGATGTCACTTGCCTGGAGGGTACTTGCCTGGATGTCACTTGCCTGGAGGGTACTTGCCTGGATGTCACTTGCCTGGAGGGTACTTGCCTGGATGTTACTTGCCTGGAGGGTACTTGCCTGGTTGTTTAACTTTGCCTGGAGGGTACTTGCCTGGATGTCACTTGCCTGGAGGGTCTTGCCTGGTGTTACTTGCCTGGGGGGTACTTGCCTGGATGTTACTTGCCTGGAGGGTACTTGCCTGGATGTCACTTGCCTGGAGGGTACTTGCCTGGATGTTACTTGCCTGGAGGGTACTTGCCTGGATGTTACTTGCCTGGAGGGTACTTGCCTGGATGTCACTTGCCTGGAGGGTACTTGCCTGGATGTTACTTGCCTGGAGGGTACTTGCCTGGATGTTACTTGCCTGGAGGGTACTTGCCTGGATGTTACTTGCCTGGAGGGTACTTGCCTGGATGTCACTTGCCTGGAGGGTACTTGCCTGGATGTTACTTGCCTGGAGGGTACTTGCCTGGATGTCACTTGCCTGGAGGGTACTTGCCTGGATGTTACTTGCCTGGAGGGTACTTGCCTGGATGTCACTTGCCTGGAGGGTACTTGCCTGGATGTTACTTGCCTGGAGGGTACTTGCCTGGATGTTACTTGCCTGGAGGGGTACTTGCCTGGTGTTACTTGCCTGGAGGGTACTTGCCTGGATGTTACTTGCCTGGAGGGTACTTGCCTGGATGTCACTTGCCTGGGGGGTTTACTTCCCTGGATGTTACTTGCCTGGAGGGTACTTGCCTGGATGTCACTTCCCTGGAGGGTACTTGCTGGATGTCATTTGGGCCTGGAGGGAAACTTGCCTGGATGTTACTTGCCGGGGAGGGTACTTGCCTGGATGTTACTTGCCTGGAGGGTACTTGCCTGGATTCACTTGCCTGGAGGGTACTTGCCTGGATGTTACTTGCCTGGAGGGTACTTGCCGGATGTCACTTGCCTGGAGGGTACTTGCCTGGATGTCACTTCCCTGGAGGGTACTTGCCTGGATGTTACTTGCCTGGAGGGTACTTGCCTGGATGTTACTTGCCTGGAGGGTACTTGCCTGGATGTACTTGCCTGGAGGGAAACTTGCTGGATGTCACTTGCGGGGAGGGTACTTGCCTGGATGTCACTTGCTGGAGGGTACTTGCCTGGATGTCACTTGCCTGGGGGGTACTTGCCTGGATGTCACTTGCCTGGAGGGTACTTGCCTGGATGTCACTTGCTGGAGGGTACTTGCCTGGATGTTATTGCCTGGAGGGTACTTGCCTGGATGTCACTTGCCTGGAGGGTATTGCCTGGATGTCACTTGCTGGAGGGTACTTGCCTGGATGTCACTTGCCTGGAGGGTACTTGCCTGGATGTACTTGCCTGGAGGGTACTTGCCTGGATGTCACTTGCCTGGAGGGTACTTCCCTGATGTCACTTGCCTGGAGGGTACTTGCCTGGATGTCACTTGCCTGGAGGGTACTTGCCTGGATGTCACTTGCCTGGAGGGTACTTGCCTGGATGTCACTTGCTGGAGGGTACTTGCCTGGAGTCACTTGCCTGGAGGGTACTTGCCTGGATGTCACTTGCCTGGAGGGTACTGCTGGATGTCCACTTGCCTGGAGGGTACTTGCCTGGATGTCACTTGCCTGGAGGGTACTTGCCTGGATGTACTTGCCTGGAGGGTACTTGCCTGGATGTCACTTGCCTGGAGGGTACTTGCCTGGATGTCACTTGCCTGGAGGGTACTTGCCTGGATGTCACTTGCCTGGAGGGTACTTGCCTGGATGTCACTTGCCTGGAGGGTACTTGCCTGGATGTCACTTGCCTGGAGGGAAATTGCCTGGTGTCACTTTGCTGGAGGGTACTTGCCTGGATGTCACTTGCCTGGAGGGTACTTCTGTGGATGTCACTTCCCTTTGGGGGTACTTGCCTGGATGTCACATGCCTGGAGGGTACTTGCCTGGATGTCACTTCCCTGGAGGGTACTTGCCTGGATGTCACTTGCCTGGAGGGTACTTGCCTGGATGTCACTTGCCTGGAGGGTACTTGCCTGGATGTCACTTCCCTGGAGAGCTGCTGACCATTGACCTACCTCGCGTGACTCACAACCTTGGAGACAAAAACTGACCCTGACCGAACAGTCTTTTTGATATGTCAGTTTCTCACTTTCCTCCTGTTCTTCACCTACTTCTGGTGGATCATTTGTAAAGTGAATAACGTTTTATTAAGTCCCGGACTATTATCACTTCCCTAGTAGGGAAACAGACTGGCAAAGGTGGCTTTAAGGCAGTGAGAGGCGAAGATAATATTTAACCGAGAAACGTGTAGAGGCGAGCATGTACGGAAAAAACGCTGTGATATTAAGAATTAGACACATGTGAAACATCTGGGTATTTTTACTTTGAAGACGTTTCGCCATCCAGTGGCTTTATCAGTATAATGTAAGGACATAATGTGATGACTGTAGAACTATATAGAAAAAATGAGGTAATCAGTCCCTCAGCTTTGGAGTTGGTGAAGAGCAAAGTAGTCTTGAAGACTACGGTGTTCTTCACCCATTTCAAGGCTGAGGGACTGATTACCTCATCTTTTCTATATAGTTCTACATTCATCACATTGTCCTTATATTATATCGAAGATAAAGCCACTGGACAGTTAAACGTCTACAAATAAAGATACCCAGATGTTGCACATGTGTCTAACTCTTCATCTTGTCGGTATTATACACCACTCATAAACAAAACTGAGCTATACATTTGTGCAGACAAGACTCCTCCTGATCTTCAACATTGTTCTCTGTGTTGGACTGAGGAAGCCACTGGTTGGTGAAACGTCTCCACAATAAAGATACCCAAGTGTTGCACAAGTATCTAATTTATCATCACATCATCTACATAGGCTCAAGGAATAAGACTCTTGGTAAAAGGACCAGCTCACAGGACGGTTATAGACCTTATAACTAGTTAGTCTTTATAACCAGGTTAATGTTAAAACACTTACATTCTTTTACACATCTGACGACGTTGTCACTCGCCTCTTCCAATGCCTTGATTTTTTTTCCTTTCATAATTATTGAACTTCATAATGGTCAAGCACGGACCAAAACCTCCGTTTTTTATTTCCAGTGTCTACGTTTATGATTTATTTGTACCAGGAAAAGAATTGACGTTTAAAAATTTCTCCCTCGTAGATCGTCATTAGCTTCTGCTTTTACAGAATCTGGTGGTGTAGGTGACGATGACGATGACGTGTTGACCAACCTGGTGGAACCTCTGTGGCCTGAAGACCTGAAACACCTTCCATACACCTTTAACCGGTGAGTGTCCACCAACGCTGCCCACGGCAGTGGTCCGACTCCAGGTTCACAACTTGGGATGTAATATGGGTCATAACAGTGAAACCACCTGGATAACGCTAACATATGTATTGCATCGCAGGTCTTCTGACCCATGCGGTAGGTCCAACTCTCACATAAGATAAGAATGGAGGAATACTGCAGCAGGCTTACTGGCCCATACAAAGCAGGGTCTTAGGAATCAAAATCACCCTTTCCTACCCACTCACACATTTGCCCAACCAGGCAAAAACCATTCCCACTCCTGCATTTTGTCAATATAAAAGTATTGGTTGCGGCAGCAGTGTAGTCCTCGAGGCTAGCTACAGGAAGCTATCTGGACTCCTCCAGTTTATGCTTGCAACACAGGCTACTTATACGAACATTAAACACAGCGTAGACCCGTCAGTCCGGTTTCTGATGTGACTTCCTCTTAGGTCAGCTGTGTCACACTCTCACCTTTTTCGGTCCGCTGAACAAATTCAGCGGACCGAAAAAGACATCTGTATCCAGTTTAGGACATTCACGAAATGCAACGTTTCGCTACGAGTGTTTTTCTCCACATAAACCTAAAGAGGAAGATGCGTAAAATACGTTCAGTATATTTATATATTCAAAATAAAGCATTGTGAAACTAATACAAATAACCCGCGCACGTAGATCGTTAATAGTCAAAGTCGGACCGAAACGTGATCATAAAATGCCATTCTACTATGTGCTGGCTACTCGTGTATTGTTCCAGTCACGGTATTGTGTCTTTGTATTATTTGTTCAGCGTGGAACCAATATTTTAAGGTTATATTTAATTAAGAACTTCTAACTATGACTGGGTGAACCTCGCAACGCAGTAACTAGATGTGTCAGTCTTACTGAAGTTGCTTCCCTTCTGTTTCTGTGTTGGTTTAGACACGTGATCAAACACTAGGACATGTTCATTAGAAAACGTTTCGGTCCAGGAGTGATGAAGGTCCCAGGACCGAAAGTTTTTCTAATGAATGTCCTAGTGTTTACTCACATGTCTTACTAAACCAGCTTGTTGGTATTTATTACCAAGGTTTATACCACCAAAGTTTATACCATGCCCACGAAATCGTAATAACACGATTGCAAACAAACCACGGTACTGGTCTTAAGTTTTACGACTCCCTTGCCATGAGTTCTATCCCCACCCGTACCGTAATTTATACCATACTGTTTATATGGTGCGTCAGTACCCCATAACCAACGTGAATAACCTTCCTTGCAAGCCAGATCAGAATCATTGATCATCAATGGTAAAACAAAAAAAAAAACACGATGACAATATTGGGGTGCAAACAGTGGGTCCCTTTGCAACTTGATACTTGCACAGTGTGATCATGCAGGCAGATGTTACCGTTTTTATATATATTTTTTAAAGTAGAACTGAATACGTCAGCAATGTGCTGCTGCCTTAGTCGATTTTTGTTTTATATTCCGTCACGCAGGGTTGAGCTCACATAAGAACATAAGAAAAAAGGAACACTGCAACAGGCCTACTGGCCTATGCGAAACAGGTCCAATTCTCCAACCGGCTTAAGCCATGCCTGGGATGGGAGACTTCAGTAAGGCAGTGAGTATATTGTGAAGTTCTCCAGTGTTAGGTAAAAGGACACAAGCGCAAGTAATGCGATATTTTATCCTGGCAACGTTTCGCTCTTTCACATTAGTTGCACTTGTTCCCTTTTTACCTAATACATTGTGGATAATTTTACCAACATTATTACAGGTTGTCCAGTGAAGGTTCTGCAGCCTCGAAAGTTCTGCTTCAACAGAGCTGGAGTTTACTTGGGAATAATTAAATCTAATCAGGATCGCCTATCCCATACTCAGACCCGGAGAGGGACAACAAAAAAATAGAGAAGAAAAACTGGGAGGTCGAAAAGAAATTTGGATATCACATATTTAAGAACAAGCACAGGGAAAAATGTAAACATTGCAGACACACTAGGAAAAATTAATACTTAACGTGCTCAGAAGTGTACCCAAATGTTTATAATGTATATCAGTGCTTGGTGGGACGTGATTGCTTGCTCTACGTTGGAGAGAATGTGTTGCCATGGTGAAGCAGTCTGGATTGTACACTGCACTTACGTTCAGTACTGTAGCGTTCTCTTTACATTTTATAAATTAAAATGAATAAATTCTTTTCCTTAAACTGGCCACAACTGCCATCTTTTAGCTGCTACAGCATCCTTCTCGTATATAAACTAGCTACGTGCCTGTGTGTGACTAGTTAACGGTCCAAGTCGGACCGAAACGTCGTCATAGGTTTCATTCTATGTGTGGGTTATTTGTGTAAAGACCGTGTTTAACTGTTAAGTCAAATGGGTGACGGGTAAGTTTTAAACAGCGATTATCTGAGGGGGATGTATCTACCGCCCTCGATGGCTCCGTTTTCTGTCCGAATGTCGATACTTTTCATCACCTTTATCTTTTATTTAATTCATTGCCGTTGTGGTATGTTTCTATTGGATATTTTTTAACTAAAGGCTGACAATATAATCTTAACTAAATAAGTAAACAGAGGTTTGCTGCAGACGGTATGTGAGCGCGTTGGTGTGTTAGGGATGGAGGATCTCCTGAATTTTAATGGCTCTCCATTCTTTACATACGACGCAGTCATTCTGAAGCAGGAGAAAGGATCTAGTATGGTTGTGTGAGTGTTATGAGAGCTTCCCTGGAGGCATAACTGGCACAGTTTGAGTTGGTGACTTTCCATTAGATGGTGTTGTGCAGCTCTGGCAGGTTTGGAGACCCAACCGGAGATTCTGGGTTGCTGCCACACCCTGGTGGTGCATACGCTGCAGCGGCAGTGCGAACATTTTCACTAGAACAAAAGTGTTCTGGGAAGATTCAGGTCCAGGAGAAAAGAAGAAACTTTACTGCAGCTCTTTCAACGTCTGTTGGACAACTTTTCTTACAAGTTCGAACTTCATGAGCTCCGGCAAGAAAATATAAAAATAAAAATTTCCTATACTTTGCAATAGCTTGTCGGAAAGTATTAAGGTAGAACATGGAGTTAGACTTGACGTAAGTCAGGAGAGATTCGTCTTTAAAAACTTGCATTTGTGATCACAGTGGGACTCGTGTTAACCTCAGGTTTTTAGTTACTGTTTTGTATGGATGAGTTGCCTAAGAATTATTATTAATGCCTCGTTGGTTTCAGGGTGTCAGCAGAGGAGAGCATAAAGATGTCGAGAGAATTCTACGACAAGATGAATGAGCGTCGCACCATCCGCTTCTTCAGTCCTGACCCCGTACCCAGAGAGGTCATTGAGAACATCATCAAGGTGGCAGGTAAAACCTCCAGCCTGTCTCGTTTACCTCCTACACACTCGTGATATATTGTATCAACGAGTAACGGAGGTATTTCTTCCATACAGTTCATTTCACAGGCTGTCTGTCAGTCCAAAGGCCAGCCCTGTGTAAGGGACCGGGCTTTGTAAAGGTTAGCTGCCCTCCTCTTCTATGATTACGTTACTCTAAACCCGTAGGGGTCATGCAACCCCTGGAGGAATGGGAGGCAATCTGGTCCGATCCAAGAAAGGAGTATGGTTTTCAATTATTCCTCAGATCAAGAGCCCCTCATCGGCATCAAGGCACCTCCTTTCAAGGTTCCCTTTCCTTAAATCCAGCCTCGTCACTCTTCCCCAAGTTTTGTATGATCCTTACAGGTTTAGTACTTCGTCACGAATATAGTAATATTCCTTAAAGGAATTCTCTAAATGTTGGCGAAGAGATCTTTATCCAAGGAATTAGAGCCCCTCTCCCCCTTCAGATCAAATCTGTTTGCCTCTTATTCAGCAGGTGTTTTGTGACCCTTTCAAGAATTAGCTCATAATAACAATATGGTCCTACAATGGGTCAGAAGGCCTGCTGCAGTGCTCCTCCATTTTAACATTGTTACAGGGACGGCACCGTCCGGGGCACATACTGAACCGTGGACCTTCGTGGCTGTGTGTGACCCTGAGGTGAAGCAGCAGATCAGAGCTGTTGTGGAGATGGAGGAGGAGACCAACTACGCCAAGAGGATGGGTTAGTACCTCCACCTCAGTCTGTGTCATCCCCAACTAAAGTTTTATAGTAGTGAAATGTTTAGCTGCATCACCATACTGGAAATATTTTGTCTTTGTGTTATGACAAGATTTGAGTGCGAGGCCATCAGCCCATAATGAGTTAGTGGGTTGTGTTGATGCTGCTGCTGAAGGACTCTTAACCAAAGAATTTGCAGCTACCCCTCTCCTTCCTCTGATATAACCTGACTACTTCCCATTTCCAGGCATTCTGTGATAACGTATCATTTTATTACTGATCTGCATTACCAACGAGTTGATAAGGACATGTGTGCAACTCCTTTTCAATTCAGTACAGTACTTGTAAACTGGAAACTGTGAAAGATGAAGTAATCAGTTCCTCATCTTTGAAAGTGTTCAGCACTTGAGCCTTGATGAAGGGATTGATTACATCGAGTTTTACCGTCACAGTTTATAAGCTCTGTATTAAGTTGAAAAAGCCACTGGTTGGTAAAACTTCTTCAAAATAAATACCCTGGTGCTGCAGCACTCCTGCCAACCCTGGGTATAAACCTTGGCCCATGCTAGACAGGTTCAATTCACAGTCACTCGTGTATCTATCCAACTTATTTTTTGAAGTTATCCAAAGTTCTTTCTTCACTGACACTACAAGAGTTTATTCCAGTTAAACTAGTGTTTCCCCATATCCTCTGTAAATCTAAATTTTTCCAGCTTGATTGTATTGCTGCGAATTCTGTTTAAGGTAGACAATTTCGTTACTTCTGTTTTTCATTTGCACAATACTATCATATCCTCCCTAATTCTATGCCTTTGCAATGCAAACAATATTTTCAGCCTGTCTTCACAGGAAAGGCTTCTAATACACGTGAAAGATGGCTAACGTAATTCCTAACCTTAAAGAAAACTAGAATGGGTTCCAGTTACAAGTGGCGTTCCACAAGGTTAAGTTTTAGGCCCATTCTTCATAATTTACATTAATGACCTAGACGAGGAAATAAGTGACATGAATGAATTCACTGATTGCAAAAATGGATCGAAGAATAGACTCTGAGACTGCCATTGAACTTCAAGAAGATTCGGATAAATTAATGTTGTGGTTTAGAAAATGGTAGATTCAGTTCAGTGTGGATAAGTGGAAAGTCGTAATCCTTGGAAATAAATATAGATATCCGTCTTATAAACTAGGCAATGAAGAGCTTGATCATAGAGAATGTGAAAAAGATTTGGGAGTCATGGTAAGCAGAAATCTGAAGCCAGAACAAGTGTTTATACTTACTTAACAAGACTAACATGTTGCTTGGATTTATGTTACAGCTCACACCTAAGAGTCCAGAATACAGCTGTATACATCACTGATAAGGTCACGCTTAGTTTCTGCAGCTTAGTTCTGGTCTCCATACTACAATGTATATACAGTATAATGCACTGGAAATAGAAGAATTTCAAAATCAGTCTACTGTATAAGGAGTTTCATACGAGGATAGCTTGAGAGTACTGAACCTTCACTCTCTTAAAGAATGTACAATAAACGATGTCAGTGAGGAGTGTAAGTGGAAGACTGTCATGAGGGGTACATAACCAGATAAACGATGTCAGTGAGGAGTGTAAGTGGAAGACTGTCATGAGGGGTACATAACCAGAGTACTAATTATTGATGGCATGCAATACCCACAAGTTGATGACTTAGACATGGGCATCTTTATTTGAGAAATATTTCATCTGCGCAACAGGCTTCTTTAATCGAATTATTATTATTATTGTAATCAAGGGGAAGCGCTAGACCCGTAGTATTATACAGCGCCTGAGGGGGGGATGTGGAAGGTATTCAGGTTTAATTCAAGGAACTGGAAAACAGATCCAATTCCCTAGAGCAAGAGCCCCTTACCAGCATGAATGAACCTTCCTTGAGAGGTCTTTAATCGAATACAGACGAAAATAACCCTAGAGACGGTAGGAGCAGCAGTTATGACACGAAGAAGCTTTGGTAAGTAATGGTCAGTTCGTCAAACTTGAGGGACCGACCACCTCTTACCAGGGCTAACTGACCAATTACGTCAAAACTACTATTACTGTCACTGTTATATTCGCATGCATTTCACTGAAAACGCCTGTTGTGCAGGCGAAACGTTTTGGCACTAAAGATACCCAAGTGTTACACATGCTCTGAGAACTTGATATGTCGGTATTTTATTCCATCGGTAATGACACTGCCTTTCCATCTCGTACAACTTAACATATGACTCTACATATTTCCAGTTTCACTCTTAGATATTTAAATTACCATTATTAAACCTATATGAGCCGCATAACCCTATTTTAGAGTCCCAGTCATAACTACCGAATGGTAACATCTCTTCGTCTCGCAAGGTAACCAGTGGGTGAAAGACCTCAAATTCCTGCGGACTGACTGTGTGAAAGAGTATCTGACGATGGCCCCGTGGCTGCTGCTGGTGTTCAAGCAGACTTACGGGATGCTTCCAGACGGCCGCAAGAGGAACCACTATTACCATGAGATCTCGACTGCTATTGCCGGTGGCATACTCTTGTGTGCCATTCAGGTGAGTTTCTGCCCTCTGTCATAGCTATCGTCCCATCTGTAAGCTTATAGTATACAGCTACAATCTTGATCTATGTTCACAGTAATCTGGAGCAATGTTGACTTGTAAGCTCATAGTTGTCAGTGTTGACGTGGGCTTAGTTGTATACAGCAGTGTTGAACTGGGAGCTTGTTAGTCTGTTACGGTATTGACCTTTGGAACTTTTTGCTCTTCAGCTTACACTGCTGTATTACCATTAAGGTGCTCCAAGCTTTTACTCTGCGCCAAGGTATCGGTATTAAAGAGTTATTGTTACGTCTGTACAGTGGGTGTCGGTAGCACAGTCAAGTCTGTCAATACTACACTTCGAACCTTGGCCAGAAGGGATGTTTAAGACGGTGCATCTGCTCGCACTGGCTGGATGGAACACGGAAAATAATGACTGATGTCACGGTTTGTGACATGTTTTGATTGCGTGCAACATGGACATAAAGAAAACAGAATACAATTTTTTTATTTTTTTTAAAGACTATTTTACCCACTGTAAAAAATAGAAAACTTTTATTTGAACAATATTGAGGTCTTCTTAAGCGAAACTTCGCCTTATTGAAGACACAGGATATATACACAGAGGTGTATTTTGTGTATATACGCTGTGAGTTGATTATAATCCCTATTTTAGAGATTTAAGTAATTCTAGTCTGGCTGTGGAAGGATTACGTGTAGCCTTAATGATCATATTCCAGTAGATAGGCTTTAAACTCCCTTGACCAACCAATGAATTCAGTTTCTTGTTCTCCATAGATTGCAGGACTGGTGACATTAACTTCGACTCCTCTCAACTGTGGTCCGGCCATCAGGGCATTCTTCAGCGACCTCCCAACGAGAAGCTGCTGCTTTTGATGCCGTGGGATACCAGCTCCTGACGCCACATCCCTGACCTCACCCGCAAAACCTCTAGAAGAGCTCATGGTCACAGTGTAGGAATGTCTCACTGTGGTGGTGCATTACTGCGACTATGCGACTTGGGCTGGTGGGGGATTTGGACCTGCCTGGCAAGGGCCTGTAGGCCTGCTGCAGTGTTCCTTATTTCATTCTTCTTATGACTACTGGTTCTGTGGTTGTGACCGTGTTGAGCGGTAATGCGTATGATATAAAGAACAAAACGGCACAATACCGTGACTGGAACAATACACAAATAACCCGCACGGAAGAAAGAGAAAAGCTTATGACAGCGTTTGGGTCCGTCTTGGACTCACGAACGGTCCAAGACGGACCGAAACGTAGTCATAAATCTATGTGCGGGTTATTTACGAACTGCCATACACAGAGTGCGTGTGTACATCAGATGGCAGACTGAAGCAAAAAGGGTCTCGGTAACGCATCATTTTATTCAATGTTATTTTTGTAGCATCAACCTTTTATCTCAACTTTTTTTTTACCGGTAAATATACGAGTAGATAACTTTTAAAACTGATGTATCACACACTGTAACCTTTGCACAGGAATAAATTTTCTTTGTATACATTGTCAGTGATGTGTCATTGATGTGTCCGTCAGTAATACAGTAAGACATAAATATGTTTCATTAACCATAACTCTGTCATCAATGTATATGTCGTGCCGAATAGGTAAAACTATCGATTTTGGCTTGAATAGCAAGGGAGGTTCCTTGACGCTGGTGAGGGGCTCTTGATCTAGGGAATTGGATCTGTGCTCCGGTTCCTTGAATTGAGCCTGAATACCTTCCATCCCCCCCCCCTATATGCGCTATATAATCCTACAGGTTTAGCGCTCCCCCATGATATTCTCTGGGTCGAGTCTTCTCACCTCCCACCTACTGGTTTAGCGCCTCTCACCATGAATGTGATGAGGTTAATGGTCTGGTATGAGCATGACTTCTGGGGGAAATTCGATCTTTTTCGTATGCGAGTGATTTTGTCATTGTGTTGGTACAAACTCCACCATCAACGTACATCAACACCAGCACCTCTACCATCAACGTACATCAACACCAGCGACTCTACCATCAACGTACATCAACACCAGCACCTCCACCATCAACGTACATCAACACCAGCACCTCCACCATCAACGTACATCAACACCAACACCTCCACCATCAACGTACATCAACACCAACACCTCCACCATCAACGTACATCAACACCAACACCTCCACCATCAACGTACATCAACACCAACACCTCCACCATCAACGTACATCAACACCAGCATCTCCACCATCAACATACATCAACAATGATTAAGCAGTGATCTTGATATTCTGGGCACACCAGATTCTCTTCCTGATTAGACCCTTCAGTGGCGGGGGGTCTACCTTGATGCTGGTGAAGGGCTCTTGATTCTATGACTTGGAGTTAATCCTTCTCCAGGATCAAACCTAGCTCTCATTCACCAGGTGTTGCACGACTCCCACGGGTTTAGCTCTCTCCTCATTATGTTGTGATGACTTTTTTCATTTTTTTCACTAAGGTATTTGAGGAGGTAGATCATGGTAATGAATATGATATTGTGTATATGGACTTCAGTAAGGCTTTTGACAGGGTCCCACATCAGAGACTATTGAGGAAAATTAAGGCACATGGAATAGGAGGAGAATTTTTTTCCTGGATAGAGGCATGGTTGACAAATAGGCAGCAGAGAGTTTGCATAAATGGGGAGAAATCAGAGTGGGGAAGCGTCACGAGCGGTGTTCCACAGGGGTCAGTGTAGGGCCCCCTGCTGTTTACAATCTACATAAACGACATTGATGAGGGCATAAAGAGCGACATGAGCAAGTTTGTCGATGACACCAAAATAGGCCGTCGAATTCATTCTGACGAGGACATTCGAGCACTCCAGGAAGATTTGAATAGACTGATGCAGTGGTCGGAGAAGTGGCAGATGCAGTTTAATATAGACAAATGGAAAGTTCTAAATGTTGGACAGGAAAATAACCATGCCACATATTAACTAAATAATGTCGATCTTAATATTACGGATTGCGAAAAAGATTTAGGAGTCCTGGTTAGCAGCAATCTGAAACCAAGACAACAGTGCATAAATGTTCGCAATAAAGCTAACAGAATCCTTGGCTTCATATCAAGAAGCATAAATAATAGGAGTCCTCAGGTTGTTCTTCAACTCTATATATCCTTGGTTAGACCTCATTTAGTTTATGCTGCACAGTTTTGGTCACCGTATTACAGAATGGATATAAATGCTCTGGAAAACATACAAAGGAGGATGACAAAGTTGATCCCATGTATCAGAAATCTTCCCTATGAGGATAGACTGAGGACCCTGAATCTGCACTCTCTAGAAAGACGTAGAATTAGGAGGGATATGATTGAGGTGTATAAATGGAAGACAGGAATAAATAAAGGGGATGTAAATAACGTGCTGAAAATATCTAGCCTAGACAGGACTCGTAGCAATGGTTTTAAGTTGGAAAAATTCAGATTCAGGAAGGATATAGGAAAGCACTGGTTTGGTAATAGAGTTGTGGATGAGTGGAACAAACTCCCAAGTACAGTTATTGAGGCTAAAACGTTGTGTAGTTTTAAAAATAGGTTATTATTATTATAATCAAAAAGAAGCGCTAAGCCACAAGGGCTATACAGCAAAAATAGGTTAGATAAATACATGAGTGGGTGTGGGTGGGTGTGAGTTGGACCTGATTAGCTTGTGCTACTAGGTCAGTTGTCGTGTTCCTTCCCTAAGTGAATGTGACCTGCCCTGACTAGGTTGGGGCATTGGCTTAAGCCTTTAGGAGACTTGGACCTGCCTCGCATGGGCCAGTAGGCCTGTTGCAGTGTTCCTTCTTATGTTCTTATGACTGACTTTTCTCAACCACTGTGTGTGTGTGTGTGTGTGTGTGTGTGTGTGTGTGTGTGTACTTACCTATATGTGGTCGTCGGGGTCAAGTTTCAGCTCTTGGCCCCTCATCTCAACTTGCTGCTTGCTAGATTTATTCCTCTCCCCAGCTGCCCTTGTAGGCTCTGTCGTACCTGTTCTTAAGGCTGTGTATGGAGCCTGCCACCACTACATGTTGTTAGGTAAGACACATATGCAACAGTTAGGTATCTTTATTTCGAAACGTTTCGCCTACACAGTAGGCTTCTTCAGTCGAGTACAGAAAAGTTGATAGAAGCAGAAGATACTTGAAGACGATGTAATCAGTCCATCACCCTTAAAGTTTTGAGGTGGTCAGTCCCTCAGTCTGGAGAAGAGCATTGTTCCGTTGTCTGAAACAATATGAAGTTGAAGTGACAGGATGGAGCCTACTGTGTAGGCGAAACGTTTCGAAATAAAGATACCTAACTGTTGCATATGTGTCTTACCTAACAATCTGTCGGTATTTTATACCATTTTAATGGCCACCACTACATCTTCGTCCAGGTCATTTCACTTTGACCACCCTGAGGCTGAAGAAGTACTTCCTGGCATCCCTAGAGCTAATCTGTATCTTTAATTTTCAACTATGTCCCCGTGTACCCTCATAGCTCATACTCGTTAATGCTGGAACAAGTCTCTTAGCATGCCTCTACACTTTCTCCAGTTCAACATGCTTTATCAGGTGTGGGTTCCAAGCTGGTGTTGCATACTCCAAGATGAACCTGACATGTTGTATAGATGATCATGAATAACTAAGATTCCACACTCGCCCTAACTGACCTCACTGAAAGTCCCGCCTCTGATGCAGATTCGTACTTTTAAACTAACCTGTTGTGCTAACTTTAAATCAAAGTTTTACTCTTGTATTCTCCCCTACCTGCACTCTCCCCTACCTGCACTCTCCCCTACCAGCACTCTCTCCTACCTGCACTCTCCCTACCTGCACTCCTCCCTACCTGCACTTTCCCCTACCTGCACTCTCCCCTACCTGCAATCTCCCTACCTGCACTCTCTCCTACCTGCACTCTCCCCTACCTGCACTCTCCCCTACCTGCACTCTCCCTACCTGCACTCTCCCCTACCTGCACTCTCCCCTACCTGCACTCTCTCCTACCTGCACTCTCCCTACTGCACTCTCCCCTACCTGCACTCTCCCCTACCTGCACTCTCCCCTAACCTGCACTCTCTCCTACCTGCACTCTCCCCCTACCTGCACTCTCCCCTACCTGCACTCTCCCCTACCTGCACTCTCCCCTACCTGCACTCTCCCCTACCTGCACTTCTCCTACCTGCACTCTACCCTACCTGCACTCTCCCCTACCTGCACTCTCCCCTACCTGCACTCTCTCCTACCTGCACTCTCCCCTACCTGCACTCTCCCCTACCTGCACTCTCCCCTACCTGCACTCTCCCCTACCTGCACTCTCCCCTACCTGCACTCCCCCCCTACCTGCACTCTCCCCTACCTGCACTCTCCCCTACCTGCACTCTCCCCTACCTGCACTCTCCCCTACCTGCACTCTCTCCTACCTGCACTCTCCCCTACCTGCACTCTCCCCTACCTGCACTCTCCCCTACCTGCACTCTCCCCTACCTGCACTCTCCCCTACCTGCACTCTCCCCTACCTGCACTCTCCCCTACCTGCACTCTCCCTACCTGCACTCTCCCTACCTGCACTCTCTCCTACCTGCACTCTCCCCTACCTGCACTCTCTCCTACCTGCCACTCTCCCCTACCTGCACTCTCCCCTACCTGCACTTTCCCCTACCTGCACTCTCCCCTACCTGCAATCTCCCCTACCTGCAGTCTCTCCTACCTGCACTCTCCCCTACCTGCACTCTCCCCTACCTGCACTCTCCCCTACCTGCACTCTCCCCCTACCTGCACTCTCCCCTACCTGCACTCTCTCCTACCTGCACTCTCCCCTACCTGCACTCTCCCCTACCTGCACTCTCCCCTACCTGCACTCTCCCCCTACCTGCACTCTCTCTACCTGCACTCTCCCCTACCTGCACTCTCCCTACCTGCACTCTCCCCTAACCCGCACTCTCCCCTACCTGCACTCTCCCCTACCAGCACTCTCTCCTACCTGCACTCTCCCCTACCTGCACTCTCCCCTACCTGCACTTTCCCCTACCCGCACTCTCCCCTACCTGCAATCTCCCCTACTTGCACTCTCTCCTACCTGCACTCTCCCCTACCTGCACTCTCCCCTACCTGCACTCTCCCCTACCCGCACTCTCCCCTACCTGCACTCTCCCCTACCTGCACTCTCCCCTACCTGCACATCTCCCCTACCTGCACTCTCCCCTACCTGCACTCTCCCCTACCCGCACTCTCTCCTACCTGCACTCTCCCCTACCTGCACTCTCCCCTACCTGCACTCTCCCCTACCTGCCTCACTCTCCCCTACCTGCACTCTCCCCTACCTGCACTCTCTCCTACCTGCACTCTACCCTACCTGCACTCTCCCCTACCTGCACTCTCCCCTACCTGCAATCTCCCCTACCTGCACTCTCTCCTACCTGCACTCTCCCCTACCTGCACTCTCCCCTACCTGCACTCTCCCCTACCTGCACTCTCCCCTACCTGCACTCTCCCCTACCTGCACTCTCCCCTACCTGCACTCTCTCCTACATGCACTCTCCCTACCTGCACTCTCCCCTACCTGCACTCTC